CAATGTCTGAAACTCGACTTTGGTGGAATTTTGTACTTTATTTTGCTTGAATAAGTATAATTCAACTGCTTACTCATGTGAAAACATCTGGTATTATGTTCACATGGATGTAAGCAGTCTATTTTAACTTACAAACAAATGTCGAGTTGCAGGAATGGGGTTACTCATATTTATTATAATGGAATTATAATGAAACATTAAAATTATGTACCTCAATGATATTAGGGAACATCATTGTTCTCATTTCAGTCAAACAATTACCAAAGTATATCTTGAAATGTATTTTGGTAATTAACTTACTGAAATACGACACAACACATAAATGATGATCTGATCATTCACGCTAAGAACTTCAACATTGTGTCAACTAGTCTAGAAATGCACACAGTGACACATAGAGAAACAATAAATAAACTTGTAACATATTCATAACGTGAACACTACACATAATTCAATCGCTTGAGTGACACATTTGTTGCACTTATCACTTATCCTTTCACAAATGCTCATGAAAATAATTTCTTATTGCATATAAAACAAATATTAACACATTTACACATATTATTTAGTTATCACATGTAGTTAGCACAGTGACAGCTGACAGCCAAATTCTCACATTCAATCTCAATCTAAACATGCAGATAGGTTAAGTACTACCTCTTGAACACAAGAAGGCAGCTCTGTACAGCTAAAACTACGACTTTGTATCGACGTGACACATAGCATTACTAAACGCTAAAAAAAAAATAACTATCAATTGAACTCATTATTTTCTACGATATATTATTTTCAAATGCTAATAAAATAAAAACTTTCACTATACTTACATAATACTCGAATTAGAATGAATTTCTGCACAAGTTATGTGTTAATTTTAAAGTTTTTATGCAAGTATCGAAGTATTGGAACACTTTTTTCGAATGGAATATTTGCAACAATTCGAATTATATGTCAGTTGAATAATATAAATTTTCGTCAGCGAGCATGCAGTATTAGTTGTTCACTTAAACGATTTATATCAAACGTTTGGTATTTTCGAGTGTACTTAAAGTTTACTGTTAAGCTAATTTTCGTAATGGTGTTCGCTAAAAAAAATAAACCCGATTATAGCTCGAAAAATTGTTGTAATCCTTTTGTAAAACCAAATCACAAAAAAACCTGTTCAAATACAACACTAACCAGCTTGTCCATACAACGAGCTTTCCCTCACATCCATTCCCAAAGTTATTTGTGTGGATCATGCAGAATTCGTTGTACAGCTTATATGAAAAGCTCACCAACCAATTCTATCGATACTACAATATATTCAACAGAACCGAAACGACGTAAATTGCAAGGTATACTTATTCGCTTGATGGTTTTTTTTTTAATTTTTAATGAATGGCATCGTGATCAAAATGCAATTAACTTTTAATAGACCCAGAATACATAGTAGAAATCGATAATTATCAAGAAATTGAAGAAATTTTTGTCACTGCTAATTCAACAGATAGACAAATATTGAATAATTTAAAAAAAATTTTGAAAATCCACAGTTTACTTACGATCAAAAATTGTCTGTTTTAAATTTATTGCCATCTTCTTTTACGCAAACCATGAAACGTAAAGAGTTCAATTCAAACTGGCGTATATTAAAGGATCTCAAAAAATTGAGAAATAATGAACCTTTACCAACAAAGGTCAAAAGGTCAAAATCATTCGTTTTTTTTGTAATTCATGTAACTATACGACGTTTTAAAAATAATATATCCGGTTACTTTCTTTGATGTATTTTTGAAAAAAATTATAAAATGTTTGCAATAAAATTATTCGAGTGCAGGTCCATCGCTTCCCAATCAAACTTTAGAGCTAGTGCGAAACTTTTATTTGTTGGATGAAATTTCATCGATGATGCCTGGTATGAAGGATACAATTACAATAAGATCAAATGGATCCAAAATTCGCGTTCAAAAGCGTCTTCTTCGTATGAATATTGATGGAGTTTTTGAATTATTCAAAATAGAATATCCCGAAATTTCCGTTAGAAAGTCCAAATTTGCATCATTACGTCCAAAAAATTGTATAACCGTTAAAAATTCGGGTGCGCATGCTGTTTGTGTCTGCCCAATCTATCAAAATGCCGCACTGCTATTACACTGTATTTATTCATTGTACTATTTTTTACTTCATTTATAAAAGAATCGCTTCATTTATTTCCTTGATGATTTTCTTATAGATGCGAAAATAGCAAAACTCACGGGCAATTCAGAGCACGTCATCAAAAACATCGATGATTGTTTTACATTAATATTATGCCCTGAAAGAACCGGAAATTGTTGTATGGGAGATCGCTCTGTTTGTCCAAGCAAAACTAAATTGAAAGCTCATATTTTGAATTGTTTAAATCGCAAAAATATAAATAAGGTGTCTTTTAATCAATGGGTTAATAAGTCACGTTGTAACCTTCAGCATTTTAAAGATAATGCATTCGAATTTGCTGAAAAATTCGCTAATAATATTTTTAATTTGATGCCTGATGCCAGAATCGCGAAAAAACAGTACGACCATTATACTTTTCTCCAAAATAATTCAACACCTGAAGAAGAGTGCGTAGTTATGGTCGATTTTGTCAAAAACTATGCCTATATTGTGCAAAATGCCGCTCCATCGTTTCACTGGAATAATGACCAGGTTACAATTTACAACATAGTAATTTATTATATAGAAATGGATGGTAAAGTAAAACATATTAGCCTGTTCATTATTTCAGATTGCCTCGTACAGAGCTGCCTTCTTGTGTTCAAGAGGTAGTACTTAACCTATCTGCATGTTTAGATTGAGATTGAATGTGAGAATTTGGCTGTCAGCTGTCACTGTGCTAACTACATGTGATAACTAAATAATATGTGTAAATGTGTTAATATTTGTTTTATATGCAATAAGAAATTATTTTCATGAGCATTTGTGAAAGGATAAGTGATAAGTGCAACAAATGTGTCACTCAAGCGATTGAATTATGTGTAGTGTTCACGTTATGAATATGTTACAAGTTTATTTATTGTTTCTCTATGTGTCACTGTGTGCATTTCTAGACTAGTTGACACAATGTTGAAGTTCTTAGCGTGAATGATCAGATCATCATTTATGTGTTGTGTCGTATTTCAGTAAGTTAATTACCAAAATACATTTCAAGATATACTTTGGTAATTGTTTGACTGAAATGAGAACAATGATGTTCCCTAATATCATTGAGGTACATAATTTTAATGTTTCATTATAATTCCATTATAATAAATATGAGTAACCCCATTCCTGCAACTCGACATTTGTTTGTAAGTTAAAATAGACTGCTTACATCCATGTGAACATAATACCAGATGTTTTCACATGAGTAAGCAGTTGAATTATACTTATTCAAGCAAAATAAAGTACAAAATTCCACCAAAGTCGAGTTTCAGACATTGTTTTGTTGTATTAGTATGAGAAATAAGGTTTTATTCAACTTATTTCTCGCCTTTATAGAAATTTATGTGTTCTATTAGAGACTCAGTCATGAAATTTATTGGAGAGTTGTATTTGGGTATCAGAAAGAACATACTACAATCTGAGCAAAATTGGTATATACAAACATATTTATTTTGGGACTTTTAGTCATTTTTTTCATTTTTAATGGTGAAAGAGTAACCGTATGGACTTGTAACATAGAAATTTGAATTTCTCACAGTTTTTTACAAAAGAAACCTTTTTTTGCTCATTTTTTCAGAGTGATGAATGACTTTTGGGGGGATAAATCAATTTTCCAAGTTCATCGTTGAGCCTGTGAGGAGCCCAATCGAAGAGACCTAGAGGTCTCTTGCTTGGTGAAATTTCACCTTTTTATATGCTCTATGAGCATACAATATCAGGGCATTGATTCATTTTTGGCCTGCAACACCTGTTGTGGAATAGCCCACATACACATTTATGGTATAAATAAAGCATCCATGGGTCCTTCTCTCAAAGTAATGATGGTCTAATTAGTGAAATATGATTTTAAATACAAAAAATGGTGACTAGAAAACAATAATTTATAAGGAAATTGTTGGAATTTCAACTCAAAAACGATGGATTCTTAGAATTTATCAAAGACCTCATTTATCAGTAATATTTTTTCCTCATATCTATAATTTTTTAGTTAAAAATTCCAGCAATATCCTTATATACTTTCATTTTCCAATCGCCATTTATTGGATTTGAAATCACATTTCACTAATTAGAACGATCATAGCTTAAAGAGAAAGATCAATGAATGCTTCATTTGTACCAAAGATGCTAAGATTTGAACGATTTTCATGTGAAAATTCAAAATAAAGAAACATTTTTTTTGTTTTTAAATCCCGTTTTTTAGATTAAACCATCCATAACTTTTGACCTATTTGTTATATCCAAAATCTGACCCTGGAATCGGAAATTTCATCAAATTTTACGTAGAATATCCTTACTCTCAAGTTCTGCAGACCTTATTTCCAGCAAAAGTACAACGGTTTAAAAAAGTATCAAAAATGTGTCTGTCCCAGACTTGATCGTTTAATCGACCGTTAAAATCGGTTTCAATAGCCTGATATGAGTGTTATGTTCGCTTTTGTGGCTCTTACCGTTCTGTTATGGAGGTATGCACACAAACTTTGTTGCTCACACTACTAAATATTTAGTAAATATGACGTTTGAAATATCAAAGATTTGGAAAAAAAGTATTAGGAAAATTTGACGCCCAACCTGTATCGAGGTCTGTTCCTAATCCCTTGCTGCCCAACAAGAAGCCCATGTATAAGAGCCGCTGGAAATAAATTTGCATTTTTTTCTGTTAGCCGAAGAAAATACAGGTGTATCCCCTCAATTACATTCTTAAAACGCATAAAACGACTACAATCGAAGTTTTTTTATCTCATATCGCTATGCATTTTGTTTTCTTCTGAAATGCCGAAATAATTAAATGAATCATTTGATATTGATTTTGATTAATGTAGAATAACTTTTTACAGCAATATGGTCCAATTTTGGATGTAGAAATCATTTTTAACGAACGTGGCAGTAAGGTAGGTTATATTTCTACATGACTTTGATATTAATATGATTAATAGAAACTATAAATAGATCGAGAACATGTCATTTCGAGATTATGAAGTAGGCTACTACATGCATTACTAGTACGACTAGCGCTTTCCTTACTCGCTAACGCTCGCTCGGGTGAATGGAGTTTGTGTTAGACATTTTGGGGAGCAAGAATTGTTCGATAATTTTTGGAAAGCGCTGTTTAGTTGGTATTATTAGATAGAGAAATATGCGATTAAAATCGTTGCAAAAAATTGTACAGGAGTTATAATTTTTTTAAAACATTATTATAATTGCTGTAATACAAGTGGCGTTATAAGCAAATGAAAAGAATAGTGCCTTTTCGTTAAATTTTAATAATGTAATGAATTCTAAATGAAAATTTTTTTTCAATGACAGAATATTTATTTATTTGGACCTAGTTAAATTTATTTACTTTACTTATATTTGAATATGTTGTTATTTTTTAATGTGATATTTATAAAACAATTGTGTCATAAACTAGTTTTCGTATTAGATAGCGGATATAATAATAATGTTAGGAACGATAAATCTCATTCATTTTCTTACTATATAACAATCTATAATATAATAATTACACATTTTTTATATTTCACGAACTATGATCTAGTGCATGAAAATTATTTTATTTAAGTGTATTACAAATGAGACTCAAGTTTCGAACGTTCAACATAAACGAAAAATCGAAATTTTTCAAAATCGTTTCTGATCTAATAAATTACTCCCACATCATCAAAAAATCAACAATTAACAATTATAATATATAAACAATGATAATTTTCCATAAAACTGATTTCCGAAAATTTTTGGAATCCGTGCATTTTCAATAATTTTTGTCGATCGAGTCACACGTAATTCAATTGGGTTACTAATCCGTTGAAACATGAGTATTTCACGATTGGATAATTAAGTCCATTATTATTAACATTCGCAATGTCGTTACGATGTAGCACGTGCCTTGAAATAATTCGATTCGTCCTTTTTTGATATCACAACTAAAACGATATAATTCGAATTAATTCGATTATCTCGCAAATAATCTTGTAATTTTGATCTAATATGATTTTTTGTTCTCTCGTTGATACCTTATCAATGTCCCTGTTAAGTTTTATCGCGCGAAAAGATCTGCAAAGTGAAGATGTAACTCGAAATTGTTTTAAAGTCATGATCTTGAAATATTTTTAAAAATCAAGAGAACATAGTTTAGTAAAAGTTATTTTTAGCTTATACAACTTTTTATCCTCAGTGATACCTAATCAATGTCCCTGTAAAGTTTCATTGAAATTGTATTTTTTTGAGAATCTCGCCCTTAGAAAAATATTCTTAAGTCTAAAAAACATCGAATATTAAAAGATATATTTATTTAACACAAGTTATTAAACTCATTAATACCTATTCAACGTCCTTATTAAGTTTCGTTGTTTGCAAAGATCTCTGACAAAATTTACATAATTTTGAAACATGAAATTATATTTTTTTCTAGAATCTCGCAATCAGAAAAAAACTCAAAAATCGAGAAGAGATGGTTTAATGAAAGTTATTTCGATATAATACAATTTTCTACATTCATTGATACCTAAGCAATGACTCTGTAAAGTTTCATTGCTCGGAAATATCTCGGAAAAATTTGAAACAACTTGGAGAGATAAATTTGAATTTTTTCGAAAATCTCGCCCTTAGAAAAAAATTCTAAAATCTAAAAAACATCGAATAGTAAAAGTTATTTCGCTCTTTCATGTCTTTTTACACTCTTTGATACATATTCTACGTCCCTGTTAAGTTTCATTGCTTTTGAATTCTTTTTCTCATTTTTCTGTTGCGTAGTTCATTACAATTACAATTACATTTTCGTGGGCAATTTCAACATCTATTATCAATAAAACTTCTATGTTATAAGATGATTTGGCACTTTGACTCTAACAGTAACTGCATGAAAAAGTTTGTATCTGCTCATAATTAGTTTTAAGGCCCTTGTTAAGGTTTTTAAATCCATCGTTGCGAATTTGCTGTATAGTCAAAATCATAGTGTATTGCTCGTTGCTGGTTGTAATATTGTTATAATTACAAATAATATTTCATCTTAGCGATGGTTTTAATAATTTAAATTTTTCCATGAATGTGGTTACATTGGTTTTACAATAAATGACAGGACTAATTTGTTCTTTGAAATATGTTAATAAAGTTCCTGCTCCATCTTGATAAAAATTTTGCAATGAAAATCCATTACTTGCATACTTATACAAAGATAATGCAAATGGATTTTCTGATGACAACTTGGTAAATTTTTCAAAATCGCTGCTAATTTTATAGGCAGACGCTAAAATTTCAAAAATGCTGTCATAAGCACATGTATTAGTAAACTTTACAATCTTTTAACATTTGGTTCATTAAAGAACATTTCATTTATGATTAAATTTCTTTCTTCTTGATTGATATCTATGTTGGAAACATGATCATAAGATTGTTGTATATCTTTCTACATTATTTTGACTTCCAACTTTGCAAATTTTATTTGAGACCACAGAACTGTCTTAGTATGCTTTTGATTGAATCTGTTTGCACTAATTGATTATGTTATTCCGTGTGTGCGCTTGAGGTCTTTAAAATATGTCTCAATGTATGCTGAAGAACCTTCGTACTTTGTACTGTTGAACGACTTCATCATGACATTGATCCACATAGGAAATTGAGCCAATGTAAATAATAAATGATTTTTTAACTTTGGTTTGTAATAGGAATTAGGAGCAATAACTGTTTCTTTGTTAACTTCCTTTAAATCCTTACCAATGTCTTCAAACATTTCATTCAAGTATTCATGCACACTGCTGAATTTTCCAGTTATTGCTCTTTAAGTTGTTTATTTTCTTTTCTAGAGTCCTTTACATCTTAAGTTATTTCTTCAAATGTACATCTTTCATTGATTTCCTCTTCATTTAAATGTTGAAATTTTTTGATAATAAAATCCAATCCATTGCGAGCACATGAATCTTTATTCAAGGCCTTGCATTGAGATATTATGAAAATACTTTTAATTATTTTCAAGAAGTAGTCAAATTCTTCTACAGTTTTGCACGCAGCAATTTATCCTTACATAAAAATTTTTCACTTGAAAATTCCTCACATTTTAAATGTTCCCATCTATAGTGGTGGCCTTGATAATGTGGGCTCTATCACTCCTTAAAACACATAATGGGAATGATCTCGTATTTGAATTATCAAATAGAATTTGAAGGCACTTCTTCAAGTAAAATTTGTATGTACATTTGTTTAGAGCCAGACTGGCTCCATTTAATAACGCTAGTAAGCTATCAGATATAAATTCTGATGGTAACTTCTCCACGCAATCAAAGAAACTTTTCTTCTAATAACTAATGCCGTTGGTATCGTGCTTTGAGGAGATCCTCTGTGTTGGAAAAAATTCTAAAATCTAAAAAAAATCGAATAGTAAAAGTTATTTCGCTCTTTTATGACTTTTTACACTCTTTGATACATATTCAACGTCCCTGTTAACTTTCATTGCTTTTGAATTCTTTTTCTCATTTTATTGTTAGGTAGTTCATTACAATTACATGATGAGCAATTTAGAATTCAAGATAAAAAAATTATGTTAGAGAATATATTTTGACGAGTAATTTCTTATTTTAAATGAAAATAAGAATTGTGTCTTATTTCTCATTTTTTTCTATATCTCATGTCCTATACAGCTATAGAAAAGTACATAGGCATTGAAAGTAACAAAAAGAAAAAAAATTTTAAAAAATTAAAAAAAAATGTTTATAAAAAATAAAAAATAAATAAATAATTCGAAAGTACATAGGCATTGATAATATACAATTAAATTTCTTAAAATAGAGAATAGATATTGAAAAATGCCAAAAAACGATAAAAATCGAAGGGTTCGTTAAAAAAAAAAAAAACAAATCGATTCAGAATTTGATCTTTGTTTCGATGCCGCATGAAAAATTTTAAAAAAATGCAAGGGGTAGGTTTTTATCATAAGAAGACCGTATAAAAACGAACCCTTAGATTTTGATGGGTGCGGTTTAGAAAATCAGAAATTTTGACTAAAATTTTGGGGTAAAGTAAAAATTTTCGAAAGAATTGTGGAGTTCACCAACCAACCAACAATTTTAATTTGAATATATTTGAATATTTCAAAACTGAAAAATATGAAACTAATGTAATTATTTATTAGTTTTGCTGGAGTGTAGAGCTCGCCGTTATTAACCACCCCTTAATTTTTAAAGGGTGTGGATAAGTTTTTTGGAATCAGCAAGAAATTTCGAATCGATCAATTTTTTTTTAAGGAATTTCGCCAAGAACTTTGGGGAAAAGCAAGAATTTAAGAAAAAATTTTTGACTTCACCCCTCAAGATATAAAAATTAAATTAAAAATAAATGAAAAATAAAGATTCGTAAAAAAAAAAATAGATCGATGCAGAATTTAATTCTCTTTCTGAAACTGCAAAAAAAATTTTGAAAAATTGAAGGGTTGGTTTTTCATCATGAAAAAATCCCATAAAAAACTACCCCTCAATTCTTAAAGGGTGCGGATAAGTTTTTTGGAATCAGCAAGAATTTTTCTTTATACACGGTATCAAGCTCATAACCCATAGTAAAATAACACATAATAATTTAGTGAATAGTCCAAAGGAAGAAATTAGCTTCGTTTTTAAAAAATAGCAAACATTTTTATAGATATAATAACTTAATAGTTTTTGAGAAAAAAAAGTACTAATAATTTTTGCGATTTTAACAAAACATTTTTTTTTGTCAAAAATTGATATATAATCGTTTTGAGTGCAATGTGAAAGTTGTAGGTTATCGCAAGATCTTCAAAATGACGCGTCTAGTGATTAAAAAATCCTAATTTTCATCGGGATATTCACGAGTAACCGCAAAAAAGCATGATTTTTCGGAAATTCATATCACCTGTCCTTTTTAACATATAGAATTAATATCT